GCCCCCGCTCCCCCCAGCAGACCAGGTTGACGTGGAGCGGCTTTTCTTAGCAGACACCTCAGCTTGAGAATAAAGGACTGAGGAAAGTGAGGTGTGGGAGAATAAAACTGAGCTCTGGAGAAATGTTTGGCTAGAGTTTCCCCTACAATATGTAGCAGTTCCAACTTACATACAAGTTCAACTTAAGAACAAACCTACAGTCCCTATCTTGTACGTAACCCGGGGACTGCCTGTATTGATTTCTGTTATTTCCACTCCAATTCATCCAATGAAGTGGATTTTACTCATGAAAGCTCATGATTCTATATATTTTGATTAGTCTCCAAGGTGCCATAGGACTACTACTTTTTGAAGTTTACAGACTAACACAGGTAGCCCTCTGAGATTTACTAGTAAGAAAGGCATCCACATTACAAAACCAGACTGCCATTTGCCAATTTGTTTCTGGTATCAGCAGGGAGCCCAAGGACTGAACTGGCATTGTCTCGGATTCTGAACAATGCATTTCACACCTCAGACAGACACTATAAAGGGACAGTGCACAGCTGCACTGATAGTGAGGACTCTGGCCTGCAAGCCCTTTATATAAACACTGAATTCACTATCTAAGAAAGTTAAGCTTTTTAAAATTCATACCTGTGCTGCTGCTACTACACAAGTTTGTAATCTACTGGGTGACTTCACCGCATATACACATCTGCATAATCCTCCCGAAGTTGCATAACTCTCCATCTGTCCTCATAAGAGGGATTTCATTCTTTGCTGGGGAAAGTTCACAGCAAATATCTGTTCTATAAGATATACATGCACTGATGTGAGTGACATGCAGGAGAGAAGAGGGGAGGATTCTTAGGGTTAGTGATTATCTAGTTTCTATGCCCTGTCTCCCACCGCCATACTTCACTCTGACTTTACACGTATCCACACCTTCAAGGAACTAAAATCAAAACTCAGGCTTCAAAAATAAGCTCAGTGTGAGGCCTTTACCAAGGGCCATGTCTACACTGCAAAGTTACACTGTATTAGAACATATGTTAAACATATGCCATAGTCAACGTGTCTGGTGGCTGTAGTTAACCCTAGGAAAAACAGTGAGGGGTCTTGTAGCACCTTAAAGGCCAACAGATTGATGTGGGTAAAAGTTTCATGGGTCAAAACCACTTAGTCAGATGCATGGAGGTGATACTTACCCATCTTATTTTTAGCCGCAGGAATCTTCTATATGATCTAGGTCAATATTACCAACAGGTTCCCTTTCTCGGCCAGTGAGCCACCAGGCAAACCCCTGGATAGTGCCCAGAATACAGACAGAAGCAGGGGGGTTTCTTACCTGCCAATGTAATGATAAAAATCAGTGAATCAACTGCAAATTCAGCTGTAGAGCAAGTTCCACACAATAATCCCACCCTCAAGGGCAGAAAAATAAACTTCTTCAAAGATCTCAGGGCACAGCTCTTCTTTATGTAATGGGATGCACTCACCTCTCCCAAGCACCCCCAGCAGAGTATGTGCCTGCACTCTCATATGGCTCTTTGGTGACTCCATCCAAGACACAGACAGCCCATATGTGAAACAAAGCAAAGCACTTCTGGAGTACAAGTGCAACAAGGGCCTCAGTGCCCGCTAAAGTCTTGCTCTGGACAAGAGCAGTACTCCTTCCCTGGAAGTAATGTCTTTGCCCTGCTGGACCTTTCTGGCCACAACTCCCCTCCTGGGGTCCCTCAAAGGCCAGTCCTCTTCTCCCCCATAGCTTATGGAGGGAATTGCAGGGAACTCAGACCCCCCCCCCCCTCTACTCCAGGTCCCAATCCAGAGACCCTGCAGAAAGCAACTGACTAATTGCATTGCTGCTATAATCCCCTGGGCCACTTCCTCCTGGTTCCTGCACATTCACCCTTACCTCAGGGCCTTGTCCCAGTGGCATTCCAGCCCAGGACACCTTCTCCTCTCCTTCAGCTATCGCAAGGAACTGCTCATACACTGGCCCTGCAGCTCTTCTTATATTGACCTGCTACACCCTGATTGGCTGTTTTCTGCACAGCTGCTCTCAGAAGCTCAGAGAACCTGTTTACTGCCCTTTTCTGGAGTGGGTGTAGCAGGACCACAAGGCCTCCAGTAGGTAGCCTCAGGGCTTAGTCCACCCCATTACATGCTACTGTGAATCTTTTATCCACCAGGATTCATGTGTGTTATGTTTTCTCTCACAAATTGATACAATTATTGAGATTTTAACACAAGTAGTCCCCCCTCCAAAAAAGAACAAGAGACAAAACATTGTAGTTAGCACAACAAATATTTTTGGTGCACTTAAGAAGCCTACAATATTTCTGTCCTCTGAAGGGTACAGTACTCAAGTGACTAGCTGCCTATGTCTCTGGGGAAGGGAGGGAGAAAGGGGGATACATAAAACAGCCCAAGAGCCTCACAGCCTGGATCAAGCAGAGCATTTCTAAATCCTTGTCCTTTTCAAAGGCTGCTAAAACACAGCAATTCATTCCTATCCATAATTGTCTGGCACTGGAAAGTTCCTAATGTTGGCTCTTATGTCTCACTTACCGTGTTCCACCCTGCTTCGCCTTTTCTAATGCAATTGTAACACAGACACGGGTGTAACAGCGCAGACTGTCAATCGCTGGCTGCTGCTGCTGCTCTCCCATTCTGCAGGCAGGGAGTTAAAAGCAGCAGGGAAAGGGGAGGAAGGGAAATGGGTGTTTGAGAAGAGAGTGCAAATCATATGGAAATGAGAGAACTTGACAGTAGACCGCAAGTTCTTATCAATTCTGCTCTCCAACTGGAGAGAATTGAAATGCAAACTAAGCTACTGGTGACCACCTTTATTACGCAATATCCTAATCCTGTCCTGACCTTAACTAGGGGGAGGTTCACTTCAAACGCCCCTCAAACTTTGAGGCAATTTGAGAGTTCTCTCTGATTTTTGCAGCTCGGCCACATCTAACTTTGACATCATTAACAGAGTATCAGTACAAAAGAGGAAGAAAAGGAGAGGAGCATTAACTAATAGCGGTGTAATATTAGTTGTTTAATTAATTAATTAAAATATGTTTACCTCACCTTTCTATTTAAAATATTCGAGGTGGTTTATAAAATTTTAAAACTCAATATATTAAAGAGTAAAATAAAAGACCCCAAAGGGGAGGCACAAAATCTATTAAGACACAGCAAGAGGAGGGGCGCACACAGAGACACACCAGGCCTGTATGCAGGAACTTCAGTGGGAGGTGCTTTTTTTCGTAAATGTGGACTGCAGGGGTGCAAATGAACCCCCATGTAAGCAGGGAAATCAGCCCCAGCCTTTCCCCAGCAGGCCAGAGCACAGGGGAAGGAGGCTTCGGCAGCGTGCCTATCTTCCCCTGGCCAGCATGCTTACTTGGGGGTCTCTGGGGGTGTTTTTGTAACCATCAGCAGGCAGATTTGAACCTGGGACCTCTAAAACAGAGTCTAGGAGCCTCCACCTGCTGAGCTAAAAGCCAGATGCCTCCCAGCGCATGTTGTAGAGGTCTCTTCATCTTAACTGTTGCTGTGGTCTAGATACCACTTGCATTGCTCAGTAACCACACTAGGCGTATGGGTTACACTTTCACACCCTTCACACACCTGCGTATGGGCACACACACACACACAAACTCAAACACCAATAAAAGCATGGGTAAAAGGAATGGCTTTAGCCTGGTACCGAAACAATGCCAGCATTGGCACCAGGTGAATGTCCGCGAGAAGGGAGTTCCATAGGTTGTGAGCAAAGGCTGAGAAGGCCCTGCCCTGTATAGATGTTAACCAGCTCCCCAGCTGTCCTCAATCCCTGGGCAGGTTCATATGGGAAGAGACAGTCCTTCAAATACCCTGGTCCCAACCCATTTAGGGCTTTATAGATCATAACCAGGACCTTGAATTATGCCCAGAAACCTACCGGAAGCCAGTGCAGGTGCTGGAGCATCGGCATAATGTGCTCCGTATAGTGAGTGTTAGGGTATGTCTACACTACAAAGTTAATTTGAACTAACAGACGCTAGTTCGAATTAACTTTGATAGGCGCTACACATACAAACCGCTAGTTTGAACTTAATTCGAACTAGCGGACTGCTTAATTCGAAGTAGGTAAACCTCATTCTACGAGGACTAACGCCTAGTTCGAATTAAGTAGTTCGAATTAAGGGCTGTGTAGCCACTTAATTCGAACTAGTGGGACGCTAGCCCTTCCCAGCTTGCCCTGGTGGCCACTCTGGGCACCACCAGGGAAACTCTTCTGCCCCCTTCCCGGCCCCAGAGCCCTTAAAGGGGCACAGGCTGGCTACGGTGCCCGTGCCAGGTGCAAGCCTGCCAGCACCCAGCC